GTTTTGTAAATGCCTTGACGTCAGTAAATGCCTTGATTACATAAGTAATCAGTATTATTGACATATTTTAAAAACTGTACTTTGAAAATACTTAGTAGTAATTGTGCTTTATTTAACAACAAATTTATTAATCTTATAAATTTAGTATATAATTAATATTTTCTTACAATTAAACAATCAATGGTTCTGAAAATATTCATATAAATTTTATATGCCAATAAATTGTAATATGTATTAAATTTTAATGGTATTTAAACATTAGTTGAACCTTTATAAAATCGAATTCTTCGATGTTTTATAAAAATACCAAGTCTAAAATATCAATTTGTCTTAATTCTTTAGCCAGTTTTGGAGAAAAAATTTATACATGTTACAGTGATCCCAAAGCAAATCAATATGCTTTCCCTGAAAACTGGTTCCCTGTGCTCATACTAGGGCTTTACATTTCTTCTATTTTTCCTTCTTACTCTTTGCTAACCTGGTAATTTCATATTTCTCTGAGATTTCAGAAATACCTGAGTCTATTTTTGTACTTCCCTTGGATTTAGTAACCATAACATGCTTAAAAAAAAAAGTTGTCTCTTAAATTTGTGTATCCTAGGTTGTTAACTACATAATTTTTTGTCTAGTCATTCATTGGAATTTGTTACACATTCAGAGATGATTTAAACTCAAGTTACTGGCCATCCGATTGGACTTTACTTTTTCAATGAAACTTACTTGTTATATGCTGTTAGACCTTTTTTAAAAATTCAACCCCAGCTTTTAATTTTGTCCAACATTAGTGTCCCCTCACAAAATCATTTGCTTAAGTTCCAATTGCTTGTGTTACATACCAATATTCCTGTTATTATGATATATATTACTGGTATATTAATGTTATTAAAAACTCATTGACTTTCATGATTATATCTTTATTTTGTAGAGCTATTAATTTTTTATCTACCAGGAAATAAGAGACTATTTCTGTGTATTTACCATGTCTGTATACTTTGCTAATTTATCAAATGTCTGAAACACACAGTTGTGCCCACTTAGATTATTAGTGTTAATTAAATGCTGGACTCCTTTTCCATTTGGTTATTATGTGTGATCATCAGTGCTGATCAGCCTTTTCTATTACTGATAAAGAATGAATGTATTTGATGCAACTACTTTACTTACAAGTCTTTCCTAATACAGAGGAAAATACATGCCTTCATATTTTAAATGTATATATAATTAGAAAAAGAACCCCAGCTATTAAGCAGCTATTAAAAAACAATAGAAATTAAAAAATATTCCACCCTGTTTACGGTTTTGTATATATATCGTTAGTGTCTATTTATATCCTTCATATTAACTTTTCTGTTTGAGTATTCTGAACTCTGAACCTTCAAGAGATTCAGATTGTTTTATTTAGCCATAACGATTTATATTTTTTGAAATTCATAATGTCAGAAATTAGCCAGGGAAAAACCATTTAGGTGACTTTCCTTAGCCTTTCAAAACTGCCTCTGACTTTTTAGTTTAGATAACCCTTGTTTTCTTTCTGGCAACAAAAAGACATCCCAGAGATATTCTGGTTGATTTGTTTCTTTTTTTGTTTGTTTTCTTTCCCTAATAACTAAGGAGCTGGTTCTTTTTTGTTGGTGAATATTGGATAACAAGTATCTGAATTATCCATAGTGCTGGCAGAGAGCAAAACTATTTTTGCTGCTATTGGTCTCTTTTAAGGAGAGATATGAGGAATATATATATATCGGTTTATGAGTTCACATTGATTTTTCTTCTGTAACATATCATTTTGCTGTGTCTATTTTCCCTTTATTATGAGGTTTCACCAGCTTCAAAGACTCTGACCCACATTAATAAGAAAGTTGCTTAGTAAGCAAGTTCTCAAAGCAGGCAATTTAGAATGAGTAGTTTTAAGAATAGTTTATCTGGACCGGTAGTAAATGTCAAGGGTTATTCTAAATGTCAAGGGTTACTTACAAAATAAGAATAACATTGAAACCATCTAGTGAGTCCTCCAAATTTAATTTGTTCACTTTGTTGGTGTTATTTTATTTTTAAAAATATGTTTTTTATTGATTTTAGAGAGAGGAAGGGAGAGGGAAAGAGAGATAGAAACATTGATGAAAGACAAGCATCGATTGGCTGCCTCCTGCATGCTGCTACTGGGGATTGAGCCCGAATCTGGGGCATGTGCCCTGACTGGGAATCGAACCTGTGACCTGTCAGAGCATGGTACTATGCTCAACCAAATGCACCGCACTAGACAGGCTGGTGTTATTTTCTTACATGTTGAAATAATGCTGGCAGGGTTCTTAAGTATTTCCTTGTTAACTTTATTTTCTTTTGAACTGTGGGTGGATCTATTACCTGTCAAAATTCAAAAGAAGGTTGAAAATTCCAACCTTGAAGAGATGCCATATTCTTCTAGACTTTAGGAGCTGCTGGAACCACGAACCAGAGGACCTACTATTACGATAGTTCTCATTTTTTTGCATAGACTTACAATGATCACATCAATGCAATGAATCCAAGGTCTCTGTGATAACAGCATTTTGCATGTTGCAATATCCATCACCAAAAAACCCTTTTCTCATTTCTACGAAAGGGCTCTGATCACCAATTTGGTTAAGATGCCTATCGTGGACTATCCACAGATAAACCACGTCCAAACGGGATTTGGCTTATGTAAGAGCCTAGCACCTTCTTCTGTATCTAGATGGATTGGGTGGGGTGGCTCCAAGTAAGAAGAAATGCTGTACAAACCACAGGAGGTTTCAAGGAGGAAGATGTTCTCACTTGGCATAACAACAACAACAAAAATGCGACAGCCATGTGCCAGGCACTCATTTATTTCCTTTCTTCCCTGTCCCAACCTTCATTGTCTTCTAAATGGTGTTGGTTGTATTCAATTGTTGGGACTCCCAGAACAAAACAACACCAACCAGGTGGCTTCAGCGGCAGAGATCTGTTTTCTTACAGTTCTGGAGGATGGACGTGCCAGCCTAACGTGCAGGCAGCTTGGTTTCTCCTGAGCCTCTCTCCTGGGCTTGCAGAAGGCTGCCTTTTTGCTGTGTCCTCACATCGTCATCCTTCTGTCTGTGTCCTAAAATCCTCTTCTTCTTATAAGAACAAGTAATGTTGGATTAGGTTCCATCTATCTGACCTGATTTCACTGGAATTTCTTCTGAAAAGATCATGTATTCCTATCTTTAAACACAATCATGTTCTAGCATTCTGGGGGGTTAGTACTTTAATATGTAAATTTTGGATGGAGACAATTAAGGAGACAATTAAGACCATATTATTGGTCATTGAAATTTCACATCCAAGTATAAATTTATTTAGGCTAATTTGAAGCTTTCATTATAAAACTTTTTTTTAACCTTTGTATTGACTAGCAGATTAAGATTCTCCCATTTGGATAGTGCTTAATAAACATTTAAAATAATATTATCTTTAAAAAAATTACCTTCTTAAAACTCTGTCTTTTTTCACATTTAACTTGAATTATGTTTCTTTTGTCATTTCAAATTCAAACTTTTTTTAAACATATTGAGGTTGGCAGCTTATCTTTTGATGCCTATATCTTATAACATCTTCTTGATACTATATAAATAAACAACTTACTCTCAAGAAGCTATCCCTGCCACAGTATATTAAAATGCTTACAATAAACAGTGATTTTATTTATAGTTTAAATTATTAGTTACCTTGTAACTAATACAGATATACTACAATAAATGCAATACAATATGATACAATACAAAAGAGTTCCTTGTAACTTTCATTTGCAGAAAGAAGCACTTAGATTTGTAAACATTTATCACCTTTGAAGCTGTTGTGCTGTATTTGTGAATAACACATTTCTAAAGTTTAATAAATGTTAATTATATTTCTATAATGAGAGTAGTTTATGTATAAATTATAGTGTCCTTTAATTCTGAAGAACTAAGCATGTGACAATATCATGAGACTTTGCATAATGAATATTTACTTCTTTTAATATGAATTATGGTAACATTCAAATCAATGGAAAAAGTGATTGGAGATGTGGTATCATTTATATTTAGGTTCTTTTTCTTGCCCTATTTTTTTGTACCTTTGTTATTTCAGTTTTAGTCTCTAAATGTTAGTTCTTGCTTTTCTTAATATATTTATTATATGTTTATATACACAAATATACAAATAAATTCTTTATTACTTTTCCAAAATTCCTATCTCAGCATCACTGTTTTCCTTCAGGACTTGTCAATATACCCTACTGGTTGACTTTGCTATTTGCCCTCTTAAAAAGAAAGAAGGAAGAAAGAAAAGAAGGAAGGAAGGATACTAGCCCTGATGTTCATAGCATTATGAAAACCAATAGTTAATTTTAATCTAATTAATATTTATTTATTTCATTCATCTTTTCTAATCTAAAGCAAATTTCTGAGAAATGATAACTGGAGCCCCACTTCCAAGTGTGGTCTAAATTAATGTCTCACAGGTGGCACTGTGTATAATATTTGTTTGAGAAACAATTCATTAAATGTGTCAGAAAAATGTTACATAGATTTGGAAGATAAATATTAGAAAAATAATCCTCTTCTAGTTCACAGACTTCTGTACATTTGAAAAACCTTGTATCCTCTTTGCTCAATAAGTAAAATATCACCTTTCTCACGATCATTATAAAAATAACTTCTGATTAAAACAAATAATTTCCTGTATTCTAATATTTTTGATACCTGCTCACATAGGTATTTCTGTTTAATTCTATATATCCTTAAAAAAGCTAACAGGTAAATAGTTGGAAAAGTTAGATTTTTGTAAAAATTCTTGGAATTTTTATTGGACTGATAATCTTAAAGATAGTCAAATAACTTCTGGGTATTAGTTAAAACTTTTCAGTTCTAATTTGAGGGGTTGTTGGGTGTTGTTTTGCTTCACGGCATTCGTGTGTGAATATTTTCTCAGTTTTTCAGTGTTCTGGTCTATAACTGTTGACTTTGCTTTTTCTTCAGGATGTTTTGAATAATTTGGGATCTTGTGAACTAGATGAAGATGATCTAATGCTCGATCTAGAATTATTAGAGGAACAGACTCTTCATCCACCTGGTAAGTATGAAATAAATGCACACTGTTATGCAACTCTTTCCTTGATAAGCTATATATTGTTTAGGCTGCATTCATTCTTTTCAATCCCCAGTTTGTGCAAGGCGCTTGCTCCGTACCATGGACTCATGATTCTGGTGAGCTTAAAATATATTATGGAAATGTAAATCCTTTTGGAAAAGAATTAGAAATTAAAAAAAGAAACACCAAAAAAACCTGGCCCCTGGCCGGTTTGGCTCAGTGGATATAGTGTCAGCCTGCAGACTGAAGGGTCCTGGGTTCAATTCCGGTCAAGGGCACATGCCTGGTTTGCAGACTCAATCCCCAGTGGGGGGCGTACAGGAGGCAGCCAATCAATGATTCTCTCTCATCATTGATGTTTCAATCTCTCCCTCTCCCTTCCTCTCTGATATCAATAAAAATATATTTAAAAAAACAGAACAAAAAAACCCCTGTAAAATAAAAGAACAAAATCCATATTAAATGCTTAATGAAATAGTTAATATTTTTGGAAGAAAATAATAATTAAAATTTAATTTTTAATTTACATTATATAACCGTATGGAAGGTTGGTGGATCTGGATTTACTGTTTCAAATCTGTCACTTCAATAATAATTGCAACATTCATGTTGATGCAATAAAGTTGACCTCAAAATTAATAATTACCAATTGCAACCACAAATACATATTCATAAATACATACACACACATAAATATAATTATTGTATGAGATAAATTCTTGTTGAATGAATTCATAAGGGAGCCCATAATATTAGTAATACTTTAAATTTATATTAAAGCATAAAATGTCATGTGTCTAATACCAAAATTACTCCCTTTGAAACTATTATAGGAATAAATTATTCATTCAAATTTAGATATTTGACTATAAAGACAAGCTTTTATTTACTTTTTATTATGAATAACACCTTTAACACTGTCATTTTCAAGTCAAATTAGAAATAAAATTAAATTGGAGCTAAGAAATTTTGGATCCTACTGCATACATTTGAGAAAAATCAGCCTCTTGGATTTTAGTGTCTAAATTTTAAATATTAGCATTTACATATAACTTTCAGCTCTAATATTTTGTGATGAATTTTTGTTCATGAAGTAGTTTTTAAGTAATGTCATATTAATAGTTGTCAAAAGAAGGTGATAACAGTGTTTATAATTTTTGCACTTTCTTTTACATTAATATTAATAAGTTACTTAAACATAGCTTATGTGATTCAGTTGTTGACCAAGAGGTCATTGATTCAATTCCTTTTCAGGGCATATGCCTGGGTTTTGGGCTCAATCCCCAGTAGGGGGCATGCAGGAGGCAGCCTATCAATGATGTTTCTCTCTCATCCCTGTTTCTATCTCTCTATTCTTCTTCGTTCCTATCTCTCTATAACAATCAATAAAAACATATGTTTCAAAAAAAGAAGTTAAATTATTTAGTTGAATCAAAAAGAATAACTATTTCTTGAGATATTCTTCCTGCAGTTGATTTGAAATGTATTTTTTGAAAATATAGATTTTTCTCACTTGTATGCAGATAACTTATACAATTTTGTCATTCATGTTTATCATAAAAGACTTACAAATGTTGAAAATGTAGGGAAATTTGTCAAACTCTAGCAAATTTGTCAATTTCTATCAAAACTATACCTGCATTTACCTTTAGATACAACTGTCTACCTTCTAGAAATTTAATCCTTAATCAGTGGAAAAACAAAATAATGTATGCAAATAATGACTCACTGCAAATATTTGTATTTGCAACAGGACACTTGTCGAATATCCAGTGGTATAGGAAGCAGTCATTACAAGGATTATTGAAAGTGTCACTATGTGCTGTAGAATGATTGTAAGGATGTATTGTTGTTGGAGAATTTTACAATAATGGGTTAGACGGGCAACACCTAAACTCACTAATTAATCTTAATGTCACTAAAAGAGTAACAACTAGACATTCTGTCCCTCTTAATGCCTAGAGAGTTCATAGTCCCACTCCTTCTGTTCATAAGTACTTAAGTCTATTCTGTTGTCTTGGTTAAACTATGATATTATGGAAATATAGAGATTAGATCCAGCAACCAAATATAGAATGTGGGAAATTCTACAGGATAATTGGACTGGTTTCTTCAACAAAGAAATGGCACTATAAAAAGTGGATAGGTGTTGTAGATCAAAAGTGACAAATGGAATGTAACATCTTTGTAGGCATTCATGTAGAAGAACATAAAATTACCATAAAAGTATACTTCTGAGTTAACCAGAGAAATTTGAGAAATAATTGAATTATTATTTCTTTTGGATGTGTGGAAAATCTTTATTTTTTGTTTGTTTTTAAGGAAAACTAAAGGGATGCATGGTTAAAACAATATGATATCTAATATTTGTTTTACTTACAAATTTGGAGGTAATAATAGATGAAACAAAGTTGGAAAATATTGAAAATGATCAATGTTGTGGTGAAAGGTTTATTCATTAGTCATAATATTTTTTCTATTTTATGCACTTTTAAATACTTTACAACAAAAATAAAACCAATTAATAATTTAAAATGATTATAGATCGTGTAGCTATCTCAGTTATGTTTGGTAGGCAACTGTGATAAAGAGTAAAAAATTACTTAAAAACATAAAGCCTTAACTGTTTGGGAACAAAAATGAACATCTTTAAACTCCAGTTTCTTTTTTTTTTTTAAATATATTTTATTGATTTTTTACAGAGAGGAAGGGAGAGAGATAGAGAGTTAGAAACATCGATGAGAGAGAAACATCGACCAGCTGCCTCCTGCACATCTCCCACTGGGGATGTGCCCGCAACCCAGGTACATGCCCTTGACCGGAATCGAACCTGGGACCTTTCAGTCCGCAGGCCGACGCTCTATCCACTGAGCCAAACCGGTTTCGGCTCCAGTTTCTTTTTTATAGCTATGTACTTCATTAATTTATTGTACAGAAAATAATGATACAGTAAATACTATGAATCTCCTGAGTCTACTAAGATGAAGATAGCTTGGTTGGAGCCACTAAGGTGCCTTAGGAATCAACTGATTTAACCAAATTGTTCATAAGATAAATAGTGTTGTATTGCATATATGGAATGCAGTGCTGGTAAATGAGATATCCCTTAGAGTGAGTTGGCTTATTTAATGTTGCTTTGTAAATTGTCTTTGAAACCCTGTTTCACATTGGATGCCACATTATAGGTTTTGAAAAAGCCCCAAATCTTTATTTAGCACATTAGCTCAGAAATAAGAATTTCTGGTAACTTTACACAATTTATTTTCTTTATTAAGCAACATAACTAAAAGTCTTTCCAGAATATAAGAAGCATTATTGATAACTGATATTGATACAAACTCACTAATACTAAACATTTTGAAGTAATGGTTTAAATAAAAGTGATTTTCAAAAGTCTGAAACTAAAATAATGGTACCATAAATTCTACTACTTACATTATTGTAAATCATTAAAGGCTTTTTAATACCTTTGTTAGGACAAAAATATCTACTTTTAGCTGTAGAGTCTTATTAAAGCAAAGATTCATAGGAGTTTATAATAAGGCCAAGATAAGTTTTTTAAAAGATCAGAGAAGTGTTTTTGTTTTAAAACTATTAAGTCAAATATTGTAGTAATTATCATATCTGGCATTTATACATTCTATTTAGTTTAAAATACAATTAGATTTGCAAAGAATAGAGAAATCACGATGTGTAGAAAATATAGAAATTCTGCTGTCTTTTTTACCTCAGTGATTTGCACATTGTAGATGCTCAGTTGGTATCTATTAATGTGATTTTTATTTAAAATATAGCCAGACATCTTTGGAGATATAGGTACATATCAGAATTTTTAAAACAAAAATTAGTAAATTTAATCTTTTTCTTAGAGGAAACCAAATACCTTTAATTAATACATTTATTTTAATGGACAAAGTTTTAAAATCTTTAATTAAAAAATTTCCTTGCATTTTGAAAAATGCATATATTGGATACTGTTCTTTTGAATGATTTAACATGCAAATAGACAATCTAAAGGACAATAGCAAAATATATGTATTACCTGCACTATGAGCAACATGAGCTAAAGTATATCAACAGGCCAGGTAAAATATCAGAATACCAAAACAAAAAATACAGTGTGAATTGTGTGGTTCAAGACCTGTGTCATAGAAACATTCATATATTTCCACATTTGTATATCTAACTATATATTTAATCATGCTGTTCAATTTTGTGTTTATGAGTGTACCTACCTTAGTAAAGATTGCTATTTATTATTGTAGTCATAATAATTCTGGACATCTTTAATATGTTTTTTTGAATTTCATTTTTTGCTATCTGCATTTTCATCTAAAAGGAATTGTAAGTTTACAGTTAGGGTTTTAAAAGTGTGTTGTAGTTGTTTTTTTTGTTATTTGCTTTTTAATCCTCACCTGAGGATATGTTTCCTATTTGTTTTTTAGAGAGAGAGAGAAACAAACAAACACATTGATCTGTTGCCTCCCATAAGCACTCCAACTTGGTATTGAACTCATAACCTAAGTATATGCCCTGACTAAGAATCGAACCTGCAACCTTTTGGATATTATTATTATTTTTTTTAATGAAAGCCAGAAAAGACAGTTTCAGAGAAAGGAAGTGTATGAATTAATTCAAAGTGAGTCCCACAAGGAGACTTCCTTGAGGAGAAAAAATAAAAACAACTTTTCTAAATAATTTACTTTGATCTTGGCATTATCTGATTTTTATCTTTGTACATTCTAATCTAAAATCCAAGCTTTTAGATTAAAAAGCCTATGGATAAGCCTTCCAGATTTCTTTTGTCACATTTTCTTGAATTCATGCTTAAATTACTCTTCTGGATAATTTTATGAGTAACTAATATGCATTGTGTTTTAAATACAGGATTATAAGTTTGTTTAATACCAGACATATCATTTCTCTTTTGGTAAAATTTATTGTTTTGTAATGCATATAAATTTTTATAATGCATGTATGAC